AACCAACATTTCGACGAGTACATACTATGAACTACCATTTCGACAACTACATACTACATACCACATACTATATACATTCTACCTAGCGTATACTCACTACATTCACTACATACTTACTACATGCTAGCTCTACACTACTTCAACATCGCAAATACTGGCGGTAGATCATATGCTGCCTGCATGCTGTTCATCTTCTGCCTATATTACCGGTTCAGGGTTCGTCTGTGCACGTCAAAAGTGGGTCGTTTGTGCACGTCAGACGGTTGGTCGTCTGTGCACGTTTTTGTTGTGTGTTTTTGTCATTGTATCTCTGCAACATGATTCTTCTTCTAGCTTTGTTTTAAACATCTCAAGAGCTGCTTTCGTGTGCCATTTGGTGGAGCTGCTTTCGTGTTCTCTCACTGAAGTTCACCCAAGTTCTTTCACACAACTCATCTCACAACTCACACAACTCATCTCACACAACTCCACTCATCTCACAACTCACAGAACTCCTCTCACACCACTCCGCTCATCTTACAACTCACACAACTCCTCTCATCTCACAAGTCACACAACTCATCTCACACAACTCATCTCTCACAACTCATCTTACACAACTCAACTCACTCAAGAGCTGCTTTCGTGTGCCATTTGGTGGAGCTGCTTTCGTGTTCTCTCACTGAAGTTCACCCAAGTTCTTTCACACAACTCATCTCACAACTCACACAACTCATCTCACACAACTCCACTCATCTCACAACTCACAGAACTCGTCTCACACCACTCCACTCATCTCACAACTCACACAACTCGTCTCATCTCACAAGTCACACAACTCATCTCACACAAGTCATCTCTCAACAACTCATCTTACACAGCCACCCCCCACCCCACGGGTAACTGATCATGAAAGAGCAGTGCGAGGAAATGCTCTACAGCAAGAAAGATGATGAGGTTGCTGTGCGTGTGCAGGCATAGGAACATGAACCTTATTAACTCACCCCACCCCACCGGTAACTGATCATAAAAGAGCTGTGCCTGTCTCTTCCCAACAGCAAGAAAGATGATGAGGTTGCTGTGCGTGTGCAGGCATAGGAACATGAACCTTATTAACTCACCCCACCCCACCGGTAACTGATCATAAAAGAGCTGTGCCTGTCTCTTCCCAACAGCAAGAAAGATGATGAGGTTGCTGTGCCTGTGTGTGCATAGGAACATGAACGTTATCATCCCACCCCACCCCAAGAAAGATGATGAGGTGGCTGTGCGTCTGTATGCATAGGAACATGAACCTTATTAACTCACCCCACCCCACCGGTAACTGATCATGAAAGAGCTGTGCCTGTCTCTGCTCTACAGCAAGAAAGATGATGAGGTTGCTGTGCCTGTGTGTGCATAGGAACATGAACGTTATCATCCCACCCCACCCCACCCCACCCCACCCCCCCAACCAAACCCGAAATGGCTGGTTCCCAGCCTCAATGTGCGCGGATGACCGCTCTTTGTGCGCGGATGACGCGGTTTCTCTGTGCGCAGATGACTCGTTTGCAATGTGCGCAGATGACTCGCTTTCAATGTGCGCAGATGACGCGTTGACCTTCAGTACCCACACCTCCATTACACCCCACCCCACCCCACCAAGACCTTTAGGAGGGACCAGACCCATCGGGGTGATAGCAGGTTGGAACACTAGGCTGATATAGATCCATGTCATTAGCAACACTGAGTCAGACAGGCGGTCAGTCAACCCAGCACTGCAGTCCGGAAACGAAGAGCCAGGCTCAGATGCAAAGTCAGGTTGCTGATCGACGCAACAGTGTGTGTGAGAGAAAGTAATTAAAACACATGCAAAAATTAAAATCATACTATGATATACTATAATAGTGGGAAATTACTTTTCACCTTTTTTATTAAAAATCTTTTTTATTGGGTTACTGAATATCCACAGATGAATTTCCCAGAACTTCCAGGTGTGCTGACCCCCTTCAGAAAAGCTCATCCGGGCGGACAGCCTTGGACATGATGACCTTGGTTCCCATCAAGGACTAAGCGACCGCTGGACACAGCTGGACCGTGTGGTGAAATTTGGAGCCTCTGGTAAGGACTAACAGTTTGCTATTGAAAATGGTGATTTAGTTCGTTGATTTACCCATTCATAGCATGGTGATTTTCCATTTTTTTTTGTATGTTTACCAGGCCGGGTAACATGTTTGAAGGCTGGAAACTCCCATAGAAATGGGTAAAAGTTCTGGATCTCTGGAGGTTTCACTGACATGGTCATCCATGACTTGAGGACTGGGGCACCTCTATTTTAGGACACATCCAAATACTGTATATCCAAATATCAATGCTGGCCTTGAATCTGGTTTGGGATTTGTACTAAATTATGAAGACCTTTGGTTTTTTCTGGTTCTTTCATCTCTTTGCATTTCACCAAAATCACCCCGCTCAAAATCTTGGAAGGTAGCGGTCATGATCCCTGAAATCTAGATGTGAAACATCCCAAATCTGGACCCCCTTCATGCCGACAGCACGCAGCTCTTATTGGTGCCATCGGAGGACACCGATCGATGCCCCAGCAATGCTGATCAAATCAGGCTGCTGTTGACCAACAATCTCTCAATCACCTCAGCCTCGAGCCTAAGAGGGACGAAGCCGCCATGAATCAGGGCGACTGAAGTCGCAACATCTGGATGGTTTCATCATGGTTTGGAGCTTTCCATCAATGATCCCTACTAAGCTGGTTGGTTTATCATGAAAAATCTGATACAAATAGATGATTCAGGGGTACCTCCATTTCAGGAAACCGAAACCACCACTTTTGATATTTGAGTGCTGCTCCAGTGACCAGTTGAGTTCATTGCTCCAGTGACTTGACCCATCCAGATTCGATCGTGAGTTATTTCGCACCGGTTTGGTTTTCCTCATCAAAACCTTGTCACTGCAACCACCCTTTCCCAAAGAATCAGGGCCTTGGTGACAACTTGGATCACTTGTTTTCAACCCATTAACGTGGGCAAAACAATGCCATAAACCGGTCTGTTTTTTTTGTTTTACTTGGGCTCGGGTGGTTGCGAGATGCTTCGGAGCTCTTCATTTGCAAACCCGTCTTTTCGCTTCCAGCATGTGCAATTGATGCAATTGAAGCAACGGCCAGAGCCAAGGCCATGCTGGATTAGTCGTCAGCTGTCAGCATTTGTCGGCATTGTTGACCGTGGCGGTCTTGTTGACCGTAGCTTAGATTTGAAATCGCTCACATGTATAGAAAAGATTGCGAAGCAATCCAAGCGTTTTCCTGGCGTGTGACGATGCAATACATGCGTGTCTACTGATGATCTCGTAATATCCCAACTTGGGTACCATGAAATAATGAAATCCAATCATTTCTGGTTGGTGATTTGGAACACGAATTTTAATTTTCCATATCTTGGGAATCATACTCCCATTTGACTTTCATATTTTTCAGAGTTGTAGGCATACCACCAACCAGGATATATTTCTCGAATCTCAATGTTGCTCTCATTTGCACAGGGTCAAGTTGCAACTTGATACTCAACATATCTGAACCAACGAACAAACACGGAAAAGACTCCAGCCGCTGCGACTCTCCAGTCGCGACTGGGGGAAATTTTTCGCGGGGAATGGGAGGAAAATGGGATGGGATTTACCCTCTGATAAACCAACAGTTTGCTATGGAAAATCACCTATCTTGAAGGGACAATCAACTGTAAGTCATCATTTTCAATAGCAAACTGTCAAATTACCAGAGGGTAATCATCAGCCAGGATTAAAAAGAGGACTGGGGTTGACAGGGTTGATCGCTGATTTTCGGACCGAAGATTCTCTGGAATATAGGTTTGAGCATGATCATGGACTTAGAAAACATATGGTTTTTGAATGGCGGGTTATTTTTTCGACCTTGGGGGGTTCGACTAGGAACCTAACCACAATGAGGATACATTGACAATGGGATGGTTATACACCAAAACCAGATCAGTTGGGTTCTCATCATGTTCCCTATATCGATACTCAACGACAATGGGGGCTATCTGATAGCCGAATCTTAGGGGTGATGTACTATTAAACTATGCCAAATTCCCATATGGGGATGGGTCAAGACATGGAAAATGACCTACTGGGAGAACATTTCAACAGACCCCGCACTAAGAAAAAAAGACCCTTGTAACTAAGAAAACATTTGTTATGAAAGAATTCCTTTCATTTGCGGTGGAGAGACTTGGGATATCTTGGGATATGCTCCAGAGGTATGTTCAATTCATCTTTGAAATACTCGAGAATGGGGTTGTTATGAAGCTGTTATGAAGCCAACCCAAGGTGACGTCTGGAAACACTGGGGGAAATCTTACGACAGATTGCGCCGAGGGGCTTTGCTGCTTTGGGATGGACGGCTTACGGACTAAAGTGAAAGACTCACCTGTTGAGCTTAGTAGGCTTAGTGCATCCCAGTGCGTTCAGCTTGGTTATATAGGTAGCTAAGTGTAACCACTGTAATCATGGTCCATTATCCACTAGTGCCTGTCTGGATTTTCCAAAAAAGCTGCAAGCATTTCCAAAAATTGGGGATGAGCCAAAATTTAAGACCCAGGGACCAGCCACCAGCGATTTTAGTGTATGTTTAGTATCTGGTTGGTGATGACTGGAACATGAATTTTATGACTTTCCATTCAGTTGGGAATAATCATCCCAACTGACGAACTCATATTTTTCAGAGGGGTAGGTATACCACCAACCAGGTATTAGCCATCTGATTCATAGGGGTAACCAATTTGGACATGTTTTTTTTGCTTCGCCGCCATTTTTTCTGCGATCAAACCGCAACATGATGCAACCCTCGGGGATGCAACTGGACTTTGGTTACGTAGAAAGATGTCACAAAAACCCAGAAAGATGGGGATTTCGCCCAAGGCTTCCCCACATTTTCAGGATGGCCTGGGATGAAAGATGGGGATTTCATGGGAATTTCGGTATATCTCACATCCATTCGCTTCCAGCCGCAGGTTCAGCAACTGAACCAGAAGATTGCAGATATGCTGGCAGAAATGCAGGCGCTTTTTGTTTTGGGTCGCCAAAAAGGCGTCTTTTTTAAGCGACCTATGGGCAGATCTGGGAAAAAAACAGCCATGGATGACACCGGAGAGTACCAAAGCCATGGGTTTTGTTACATCAATTTTCATGAGGATCTGACCCCAAATCATGGTTGGTCACTGATCCAAAAGGGGGTATCCAGCACTGGTTGGTGGTGCCCTTCGGAATCGCTAAGTTGGTGCAAATAACTCCAAGTTCACTATGGTTTATGTTTAGATATGTCTATACTATTCCTATGGTTTTAAATCAACTTATAATTGGGGGGCACCACCTTGTACCCTCTTGACAGCAAAAATGAGGTTCTAAACCAAATCTTAAGGCAGGACTTGGCATTCTCAAGTGGAGGTTTTGTCGGCTGATCAAACTTGTCCACGGCCAATTCCCCAATTTAGCTTTTTGAGTTAGATCCCAATACACGGTACATACGTGGATGAACCAGCCATTGTGGGACATCCAAGTATATCCTCAATATTCCTCAATCTCATTTATATGGTCCCATCAGTCCTGTCATTCTTTTTGCTAGCAAATCCCAATGAAATGTCGCCTTACCGAAAAGCCGTGATTAATCGCAATGTAGGTATGGCCCTCATACTACCAATTTGGCAGATACTCATTTTTGCGGCAAGCCCCAACAAAATATAGAAACTTACAAAATCCCTCATTTTATTGAGGTAAAATGATCCAGTTGTCCATCTAGTAAGATATGGACAACTGGGGGTTTTCCATGGTACCCCCAGTGATCATCCATTTTTTCTTGGGATTTTCCATGGAACCCAACTGGGGCAGGAAAGCTGCGCTTCGGAGGCCGCGGAAGAAGCGGCACAGGCAGCAGATGGGGCACCAATTTTCCCCATTGAACTGTAGATATATCATCCAATATAAAGCAACAAAAAGGTTGGTTTTGTACTAAGTATGTTATGATATATATATTTTTTTAAATAGGAGTTAATGGGATTTAAAATGGGCTAGGTCTGGATCATATAATATATATATATATTGGTCGTGATCTGAATAATTTTTCTTGCGACCTCGCTGTGACCACGATCCCTAAAGTCATGGTAGGGATGTCTTTTCCTCACTTCTGTGGTCAATGAATCTGGTCTGCGATTCATGGATGTGATGGGTCAAGTTACCTATCACCATCATTATGACTGGGGGAATAACCAGACATAACTGACATGCTATCATTATGGTGATTGTCTGGTATTACAATATATTCCGTTAACCAGTTAACCAGACATAACTGGTATTTTGATTATCATATAACCAGACATAACTATATGGTATCAACAAAAAGTCATATCACCAGTCGTGCTATCACCATAAATCTCAGCTACGGTGCCATCGATGTGAATCAGTGGGTTGTTAAAGTTATTGCTATCGCCCATTTTTTGAAACACATGTATAATTATATTTTTGCATCTACAAGCATATAGAATGTACGAGAATTCAATGCCAGAAGTTGTTCGGAAGATTTTTGTACATAGAAGATTTATGAGTATTTAGTATCTTTAGGGGATTGAGTCCGAGTGAATTTAGTACCACTGTTTTTTTCATCTTCCGGAATTGAAATAATATTCTATGTATACTACTGGAATATTCTATGTATACGTATTTTTGCAGTTCCTGAGCATGCTCCAAAATGTCCCAAAAAAACAATTCTACATTCTATGTACTTGTAGACATTGTAGACGCTTTTATATGTCTATGTCTATAAAAATACACTCAGCATGTTCGCGAAGCATTCTTGCGCCTAGGTCCTCTGCTGGAACCACCAAACCTGACAAACGTGAAGATGAGCAACATGAATCTCTTTCAAGAGCAACATAACTTTAACTGCTTGATGATTTCCAAAATCTATATCGATTCCTTCTTTGAACATATTAAATGTTCCCATTCAATGGACATTCATATTTTTGAAGGGGGCTCCAACCAACAACCACTTAACGACGGGAGATTCAACTACATAGCCTAGCCACAACACCAAAGAATTGGGCAACACTTTGCGGCGTCTCGGAAGTGTGGCAGTCCTTTGTACCCTCTGGTAAACTAACATAACTATAGAAAATCAGCATTTTTAATGGGAAAACTCATTTTCAATAGCTATGTTAAATTACCAGAGGGTAACTTTCTAGTATTTGGGGATGTAATTAATAACTAGATGTCTCTAGGTCAGCTGACCCAGAGACGTCGTTGACGACCCTTTGCAATCGGCTGTCCTCCAGGACTAGTTTTTCATCACTGTTTACAGAAAGCCGGAATGAACTTTACATAAACCCTGAAAAAACCCTAAATGAACCCTAAAGAAGCTACAAATTAACCCTAAATGAACCCTAAAGAACCCCTACAGACCCTATAGTGGAGTACCTGCGGGGCATAGCGCATGTGCTGCGGGTAAACTTAGGGGCTAATTCCATGTCTCACTTTGATGTTTGACAAAATTTCACGGCCCCTAAAGTGTTGATGTTTGAGCAAGGATAGTGCACAGTGCAAAGTTTTTTTTTTGGCAAGGTGCAACAGCTCAAAGACAAGCTTGCTGAAGTTGAGGCCCTGACACGATTCACATCTTCGGAGACTGGCAATGCAGTAGCTGGAAATTGAAATCCTCACAAAGGTAGATGATTTCACGTCATTTTTCCAAGAAAAAAATCACAATTTCCAAGCCATCTGGGTAGTTTACCAAAGCGTATTCTCCCACTTGTCCAAGCTAGAAGGGCTTATGAAAGTATCGCATTTTTAACACAGCTGCTGTTGCATGGGAGGCACAACATGCCTCAGCGACTACTGCTGCTGAACAGCATCGACAAGAGCTGGAGAACCTTAAAAGCCAATCCTCTGTAGAGGTAGGGGGCTGTAGGGGGCTGTAGGGGGCTGTAGGGGGCTCTTTGATGACATAGCATGAAATAGCATGAAATAGCATGAAATCGTCTTGCAGCAATTGATAAACAGAAAAGTCTGTAGTATTGCCTCTGGTTCATTTTGGTTCCGCCTTTTATCAGGTACAGCAACTGAAAGACAAAATCGCTGAAATCCAGGCGCTTTCTGGCGCTTTCTTTGTTTTGAAATTGGCTTCCTGCTTTCCAGCTTGTCACAGTTGTCATTGCGGCTACATTTGACTTGAGTGGCTTGAATGTTCTTCCTGTGGATAGGCACAGAGTTCTTCATCAGATGCGGCAGCAGAACAGCAACAGCAAGAACTCAATGTCTTGAAAGCAGAAGCAGCACAGGCAAGTTGTGACCTGTTGCGCTTGATTTTTCAGAATCCAGATTGCATGCAACAGAAAAGACACTCAGGAGAGTCACCATTTGGAATGGTCTGTTTGAGATGTACGCAAGGAGAGTGCAAAGGGTCGTTTTTTGGTGAGGTGCAGCAGCTCAAAGACAAGCTTGCTGAAGTTGAGGTGGGCCACCACACACTTGTTTGAAGCGATTCCGTACTGTCGTCCTGCAAGTAATGTTGGCTGTGCATTTATGCACCAAGCTCAAGCAATTGGAAAGACAGTCAAATCAAACGGTGTTAAACGTTAATTCATGTCAATTGGATGTCTCACGGCTCACGATATTTCAAGATTTCTCAAAGCTTCTTTTCGCCCGGAGGCACAATATGCCTCAGCGACTACTGCTGCTGAACAGCATCGACAAGAGCTGGAGAACCTGAAAAGCCAATCTTCTGTAGAGGTAGGGGGCTCTTTGATAAAATAGCATGAAATAGCATGAAATCGTCTTGCAGCAATTGAGAAACAGAAAAGTCTGTAGTATTGCCTTTGGTTCATTTTGGTTCCACCTCTTATCAGGTACAGCAACTGAAAGACAAAATCGCTGAAATCCAGGCGCTTTCTGGCGCTTTCTTTGTTTTGAAATTGACTTCCTGCTTTCCAGCTTGTCACAGTTGTCATTGCGGCTACATTTGACTTGAGTGGCTTGAATGTTCTTCCTGTGGATAGGCACAGAGTTCTTCCTCAGATGCGGCAGCAGAACAGCAACAGCAAGAGATCAACGCCTTGAAAGCAGAAGCAGCACAGGCAAGTTGTGACCTGTTGCGCTTGATTTTTCAGAATCCAGGTTGCATGCAACAGAAAAGACACTCAGGAGAGTCACCATTTGGAATGGTCTGTTTGAGATGTACGCAAGGAGAGTACAAAGGGTTGTTTTTTTTGGTGAGGTGCAGCAGCTCAAAGACAAGCTTGCTGAAGTTGAGGTGGGCCACCGCTCTGTTGTTTGAAGCGATTCCATACTGTCGTCCTGCAAGTAATGTTGGCTGTGCATTTATGCACCAAACTCAAGCAATTGGAAAGACAGTCAAATGGTGTTAAACGTTAATTCATGTCAATTGGACGTCTCACAACTCACGATATTTCAAGATTTCTCAAAGCTTCTTTTCCACGGGAGGCACAATATGCCTCAGCGACTACTGCTGCTGAACAGCATCGACAAGAGCTGGAGAACCTGAAAAGCCAATCCTCTGTAGAGGTAGGGGGCTCCTTGATGAAATAGCATAGCATGAAATAGCATGAAATCGTCTTGCAGCAATTGATAAACAGAAAAGTCTGTAGTAGTATTGCCTCTGGTTTATTTGGGTTCCACCTCGTATCAGGTACAGCAACTGAAAGACAAAATCGCTGAAATCCAGGCGCTTTCTGGCGCTTTCTTTGTTTTGAAATTGGCTTCCTGCTTTCCAGCTTGTCACAGTTGTCATTGCGGCTACATTTGACTTGAGTGGCTTGAATGTTCTTCCTGTGGATAGGCACAGAGTTCTTCATCAGATGCGGCAGCAGAACAGCAACAGCAAGAACTCAATGTCTTGAAAGCAGAAGCAGCACAGGCAAGTTGTGACCTGTTGCGCTTGATTTTTCAGAATCCAGATTGCATGCAACAGAAAAGACACTCCGGAGAGTCACCATTTGGAATGGACTGTTTGAGATGTACGCAAGGATAGTGCAAAGGGGCGTTTTTTGGTGAGGTGCAGCAGCTCAAAGACAAGCTTGCTGAAGTTGAGGTGGGCCACCACACACTTGTTTGAAGCGATGCCGTACTGTCGTCCTGCAAGTAATGTTGGCTGTGCATTTATGCACCAAGCTCAAGCAATTGGAAAGACAGTCAAATCAAATGGTGTTAAACGTTAATTCATGTCAATTGGATGTCTCACGGCTCACGATATTTCCAGATTTCTCAAAGCTTCTTTTCGCGGGGAGGCACAATATGCCTCCGCGACTACTGCTGCTGAACAGCATCGACAAGAGCTGGAGAACCTGAAAAGCCAATCCTCTGTAGAGGTAGGGGGCTCTTTGATAAAATAGCATGAAATAGCATGAAATCGTCTTGCAGCAATTGAGAAACAGAAAAGTCTGTAGTATTGCATTTGATTCATTTTGGTTCCACCTCTTATCAGGTACAGCAACTGAAAGACAAAATCGCTGAAATCCAGGCGCTTTCTGGCGCTTTCTTTGTTTTGAAATTGGCTTCCTGCTTTCCAGCTTGTCACAGTTGTCATTGCGGCTACATTTGACTTGAGTGGCTTGAATGTTCTTCCTGTGGATAGGCACAGAGTTCTTCATCAGATGCGGCAGCAGAACAGCAACAGCAAGAACTCAATGTCTTGAAAGCAGAAGCAGCACAGGCAAGTTGTGACCTGTTGCGCTTGATTTTTCAGAATCCAGGTTACATGCAACAGAAAAGACACTCAGGAGAGTCACCATTTGGAATGGTCTGTTTGAGATGTACGCAAGGATAGTACAAAGGGTCGTTTTTTTGGTGAGGTGCAGCAGCTCAAAGACAAGCTTGCTGAAGTTGAGGTGGGCCACCGCTCTGTTGTTTGAAGCGATTCCGTACTGTCGTACTGTAAGAAAGTTTAAGTATTTGTAAGTAATGTTGGCTGTGAACCTATTAACCCATATCCAAACTTAAACAATTGGAAAGACAGTCAAGTAGTATTACATATTAATACATGTCAATTGCACGGCTCACGACATTTCAAAATTTCTCAAAGCTTCTTTTCGACGGGAGGCGCAACATGCCTCAGCGACTACTGCTGCTGCTGAACAGCATCGACAAGAGCTGGAGAACCTGAAAAGCCAATCCTCTGTAGAGGTAGGGGGCTCTTTGATGAAATATCATGAAATAGACGTGCACCCATTGAGAAACAGAAAAGTCTGTAGTATTGCCTTTGGTTCATTTTGGTTCCGCCTTTTATCAGGTACAGCAACTGAAAGACAAAGTCGCTGAAATCCAGGCGAATTCTGGGGCTTTCTGGCGCTTTCTTTGTTTTGAAATTGGCTTCCTGCTTTCCAGCTTGTCACAGTTGTCATTGCGGCTACATTTGACTTGAGTGGCTTGAATGTTCTTCCTGTGGATAGGCACAGAGTTCTTCATCAGATGCGGCAGCAGAACAGCAACAGCAAGAACTCAATGTCTTGAAAGCAGAAGCAGCACAGGCAAGTTGTGACCTGTTGCGCTTGATTTTTCAGAATCCAGATTGCATGCAACAGAAAAGACACTCAGGAGAGTCACCATTTGGAATGGTCTGTTTGAGATGTACGCAAGGAGAGTGCAAAGGGTCGTTTTTTGGTGAGGTGCAGCAGCTCAAAGACAAGCTTGCTGAAGTTGAGGTGGGCCACCACACACTTGTTTGAAGCGATTCCGTACTGTCGTCCTGCAAGTAATGTTGGCTGTGCATTTATGCACCAAGCTCAAGCAATTGGAAAGACAGTCAAATCAAACGGTGTTAAACGTTAATTCATGTCAATTGGATGTCTCACGGCTCACGATATTTCAAGATTTCTCAAAGCTTCTTTTCGCCCGGAGGCACAATATGCCTCAGCGACTACTGCTGCTGAACAGCATCGACAAGAGCTGGAGAACCTGAAAAGCCAATCTTCTGTAGAGGTAGGGGGCTCTTTGATAAAATAGCATGAAATAGCATGAAATCGTCTTGCAGCAATTGAGAAACAGAAAAGTCTGTAGTATTGCCTTTGGTTCATTTTGGTTCCACCTCTTATCAGGTACAGCAACTGAAAGACAAAATCGCTGAAATCCAGGCGCTTTCTGGCGCTTTCTTTGTTTTGAAATTGACTTCCTGCTTTCCAGCTTGTCACAGTTGTCATTGCGGCTACATTTGACTTGAGTGGCTTGAATGTTCTTCCTGTGGATAGGCACAGAGTTCTTCCTCAGATGCGGCAGCAGAACAGCAACAGCAAGAAATCAACGCCTTGAAAGCAGAAGCAGCACAGGCAAGTTGTGACCTGTTGCGCTTGATTTTTCAGAATCCAGATTGCATGCAACAGAAAAGACACTCAGGAGAGTCACCATTTGGAATGGACTGTTTGAGATGTACGCAAGGATAGTGCAAAGGGGCGTTTTTTGGTGAGGTGCAGCAGCTCAAAGACAAGCTTGCTGAAGTTGAGGTGGGCCACCGCTCTGTTGTTTGAAGCGATTCCGTACTGTCGTCCTGCAAGTAATGTTGGCTGTGCATTTATCCACCAAACTCAAGCAATTGGAAAGACAGTCAAATGGTGTTAAACGTTAATTCATGTCAATTGGACGTCTCACGGCTCACGATATTTCAAGATTTCTCAAAGCTTCTTTTCGACGGGAGGCACAATATGCCTCAGCGACTACTGCTGCTGCTGAACAGCATCGACAAGAGCTGGAGAACCTGAAAAGCCAATCCTCTGTAGAGGTAGGGGGCTCTTTGACAAAATAGCATGAAATAGCATGAAATCGTCTTGCAGCAAATGAGAACGGACAAGTCTGTAGTATTGCCTCTGGTTTTTTTGGGTTCCACCTCGTATCAGGTACAGCAATTGAAAGACAAAGTCGCTGAAATCCAGGCGAATTCTGGGGCTTTCTGGCGCTTTCTTTGTTTTGAAATTGGCTTCCTGCTTTCCAGCTTGTCACAGTTGTCATTGCGGCTACATTTGACTTGAGTGGCTTGAATGTTCTTCCTGTGGATAGGCACAGAGTTCTTCCTCAGATGCGGCAGCAGAACAGCAACAGCAAGAGATCAACGCCTTGAAAGCAGAAGCAGCACAGGCAAGTTGTGACCTGTTGCGCTTGATTTTTCAAAATCCAAATTGCATGCAGCAGAAAAGACACACAGGAGAGTCACCACTTTAGAATGGTCTGTTTGAGATGTACGCAAGGATAGTACAAAGGTTGTTTTTTTTTGGTGAGGTGCAGCAGCTCAAAGACAAGCTTGCTGAAGTTGAGGTGGGCCACCACACACTTGTTTGAAGCGATTCCGTACTGTCGTCCTGCAAGTAATGTTGGCTGTGCATTTATCCACCAAACTCAAGCAATTGGAAAGACAGTCAAATGGTGTCAAATGTATTCAAATGTTAATTCATGTCAAATGGACGTCTCACGGCTCACGAAATTTCAAGATTTCTCAAAGCTTCTTTTCGACGGGAGGCACAACATGCCTCAGCGACTAATGCTGCTTCTGAACAGCATCGACAAGAGCTGGAGAACCTGAAAAGCCAATCCTCTGTAGAGGTAGGGGCTCTTTGACAAAATAGCATGAAATAGCATGAAATCGTCTTGCAGCAAATGAGAACATGAGAACGGACAAGTCTGTAGTATTGCCTTTGGTTCATTTTGGTTCCACCTCGTATCAGGTACAGCAACTGAAAGACAAAGTTGCTGAAATCCAGGCGAATTCTGGGGCTTTCTGGCGCTTTCTTTGTTTTGACATTGGCTTCCTGCTTTCCAGCTTGTCACAGTTGTCATTGCGGCTACATTTGACTTGAGTGGCTTGAATGTTCTTCCTGTGGATAGGCACAGAGTTCTTCCTCAGATGCGGCAGCAGAACAGCAACAGCAAGAAATCAACGCCTTGAAAGCAGAAGCAGCACAGGCAAGTTGTAACCTGTTGTCCCTGAGGAAGGTTTGGATTTTGAAGCAAAATGAAGTACTGTTTCTGGAATTTGCCAGGTGATAGCTTTGATTTCTATGGCCTATGGGTTACTTCACAATCACCTTCTATTTCATAACCAACCTGGCCGGGGCGTTTTTGAATACGTGAGGTGCAGCAGCTCAAAGACAAGCTTGCTGAAGTCCAGGTGGAATCTGGCAGCTGCGTAGGGGATGTAGCTAGAAGATGCTGTCATGAAGAACAGCTTGGTGGTTTCAATCAGCTTTATGTTGGATACATATGGAAAATATGGGATGATATATAGTGGTTAATGATGGTAAATACTGGTTGATAATGATGGTCAATAGATGTCCCAAATTCCCATTGGTTGGTTGATGCAAAAAGAGGGGGTTGGAGAAACCCCTTTAACAACAGGTTTGTTTGATGATAGATGGTATACCAAATCGGCCCCTCTATTTTTACCAAAAGGACATTATTGGTTTTGTTGATTTGTTGAAACCCCCAAGCTGATGTTTCTTGTTTTGTTGATGAGGGTGGTTTATGTTAAAAAAACAAATAAATCAACCATTTCGATTCCTTTTGTTGATTTGTTGACATCTACTGCAGATATTTTTTCACTTATTTTTTCCCATTGGTGAATCCACCATGAAGAATCTACGAATGGACGAGTGTTTACAAACTTTGGGGACCCCCGTTTAGCAAGTCATAGCAAATCCAAGATCCCCACTGTGTGCCACTGGTAGCAGCATTATGTTACATATAATGTATACTATATGTAGTATGTACTAGAACTGATACATTATTTGTAATCTATAATAAGTTGAAAGACACCAATCCAAGTTTTTTTGGAGGCACAAAAGTCCTCATCGGATGCAGCAGCGGAGGAGAAGCAGAGTGAGGTGCTGCTGACATGTTTTGAATCTTCGCCGCCACAGATGAGATCATTTAGCTCACCAAAATAGATGCTTGTGAGATCTTGTGAGTCTGTACAAGACCATATTGCATTAATTTGCATTATATAAATTAGAATGATTTGCGGATTGTCGTCCATTTTTTAACCCCAGAATTCTCACGAATTTTACAGTCGGTTTTTAGTTTCACTGCTCAATTTCCTTTTTTATAGATCTTTTTGTCGATGGACCACAGAATCTCGTCGCTTGATGCCAAGCATAGGAACTATGCTTAGGTTCTTGGATGCTATTCGGGATATCGACCGGTCGTGGGAAGCAATGCGGGGAGTTCGCCTGCCGAATTACGACTGGAAGGTGTTCTATACCACTAGGTATTACTAGTATAGTAACACTATTGTATTTGGGTAATACCGGTAGTAATACCTTACTATACCACTATTACTATAGGAATAACTACCGGGTATTCATATATTGCTGTTCCTAGTGGTATTACTGGTACTGCTCAGCTGGTAGGTCATCATCTGTAGACTCTAGAGATTTCCAGCAGTTCGCCAAAATGGTCCCTGGACACGTAAAATGGTGATGTCACGGGTATGGCCAGCATCCCATTTCCAAGGATGAAACATTCTTTTCTTGCAAAACCCCATGTGGTGTAATCCCTATCTTTTTTGGTTCCATGTTAAAATCTTCGTTTTCCCGGGAGTAACTCACTGGTTCAAAGGAAGATTCATTAATCCTTTGAGGAAGTAGCAGCAAACTGCACATTGATTTGTCTCAAAATGGATGTACCGATTTGCCCCCAAGTGAAATGGCACTGCACGTCCATTTTCACAGGGAATGTGCTGAGAAACTTATGTCCACATGGGAAAAGTTGTAGGACATCCGTATATCTTGAAGCTGCAAAAACAGGGGCTTCAGTTTTCCAGAAGGTTTTAGCCATATTTTGTTTCCGGAAATTCATCGGCACCTGTCCAGGTGCAGCAGCTTCAAGAGAAGCTGTTGGCATTGGAGGCTGGGTTCGACATGGGCGAAGCTGGGGTAACTTCTTATATAAGTTATATAATTTTATATAGTTATACCATATTCCATATAAAATATATAAATATGTAGTTATATAGGTGTATACAAATTATGTAAATGATATAATTAATACAATTATCATTTCAGACCATATTAGTATTGTTCCTCTTGTTATCCCATTGAACTCCCTTTCTTACTTTGCTTAAGCCCTGGTTGTCTGGGAGGTTGGCATATTTTTTGGGCCCAGGAATATGGAAAGGGATGGGAGCCTGATGAACATCCACATAGACCAACTGAACTATTCGGGTGCGAACATCTACCCTCTGGTAAACTAACATAGCTATATAGAAAATCACAATTTTTAATAGGTAAACCATCTATAAATGGGCAATTTTCAATAGCTATGTTAGTTTGCCGGAGGGTACCAGATTGAAACCACCCATAACGATCTGGCTACATTCCCATTTTTTGATTGGTGAAACATGGTGGAAGCATCGAACTTTTTGATACTTTTTGCCCCCCCATGGGGATGGCCTCGTTGCGAGGCATCTGCTGCACAAACACAGCAAGAACTTGAAGCTTTGAAAGCAGAGGCTTCCAAGGCCACCTAAGGGCTGTGCCCAAATGCTGGACATAAAGGGGACAGCCCATGATGTCTAAATCATTTCAGATTGGGGATTTATTGCAAAACACGTTTCTTTTTTTGCGAGGTGAAACTTGCTGCGTTTGGTGACGACAAATGATTTGGAGCCACAACCCGTAGGACGCCGTAGGATTTTAACCAGCAAGTGATCAACACATCCAATTGAATTTCTGTAGCTGAAAGCATGTGAAGAGCAACTAACAACAAAATCTGGGTTATTCAATTGTAATCAACAAAACACATCATTATTTATGAGGATGTGAAACCAGAAAACTTTATTATTTCAACGAACAGGAAAGATAACAAAACTTCCACCCACCATGGTTTTGAATACCAGTCCAACGGGGTGAAGATTTCAGGTCTTCCCAACGACCGAGTTCCCGAGTTCTAACAGTTTTTGTTTTTGTTTATCCAAAAAAGGGAGAAATCCACATCTGAATCCGAATTAGCCTCTGGATATTTAACGTAGCGAACTGGAAAATCCATTATAAATGGAGGTTTCTAGCTGGGAAAATCATCTATAAATGGACCATTTTCCATAGCTATGTTAGTCATAACCAGAGGGTATATCCAATACATCCATCATTTCCTCATCATCTAACCGATATATCCCATCCCCTTCGTACATCCGATATGTCCAACGCTGGCGAAGCTGGCGAAACGTGTCAGGTTCCACGGCTGAAAGAAAAGATTGCAGAGATAGAGGCGTTGAGATTAGCTTCGAAAAATGGGCTGGCATAGATCTAGGTGCTGTCCAATACCCTCTGGTAAAGTAACGTAACTATGGAAAATTAATGAAAATTACAATTTTCAATAGGTAAATCAACTATAAATGGGCCATTTTCAATAGCTTTTTGTATGTTTACCAGGGGGTAATCTGGATGACAATGGATGATAGTGGATTATAGTGGACGAACATGTTGAATAAAACCATTATCATGATAAACAATTATGAAACACCATCCTCATCAACCATTACTAATTTATTCGCCAGGAGTTGGGTTTGTTATGGGGCACCCCCAAATTTCCCATGGGTTTCTCATCATTTGCCTAATCAACATTGCACTTTTGGGGTCCCAGATACTACTAATGAAACACGGCCGTGGACTCACCTCGTTTTTTCCATGGGAAAATCATTTGCAGACGGGGATTCAGTGGAATTGAGTGGAGGATTTTTCCATTGCGAGGTATCAATATTTCTGGGGCAGGAATCTCATGAGGAATCGTACATGTTATATCTCACTCATCTAACTGGCTTATAGTTATTAGTTGTTACCCACGTGGAGAACCACCAACTTAGTGGTTAGCACCCCTGGTCGGGTTATCCTATTTGGAACAGGGTAACCTGACTTACCAATCAGTTACCCTCTGGTAAAATAACAGTTTGCTATTAAACATGACAATAGAAATAGTGGATTTACCCATTGAAAATTGTGATTTTCCATAGTTTTTTGGTAACGTTTACCAAACCGGGTATTTTTTGTGGGATGATTTTCCAAGTAGATGATTTCAATCCAATCTCCTCATGGACATGGGGACGATCGAAACCCTCTCGAAAACGTGCAGGTTTAAGCTCTAGTTTTGGGAGAAAAAAACCCATGGTGAAATCTGTAAGATTTCCCCTAAACCCAAACATTGCACCACAGGCGGCTGGCACGGAACAGCAGAAGCGGCTGGACTGTGCGACCGAGGAAGCCGCGCAGGTGGGGAGAGTGCAGCGCAGGTTTCTGCGAGGGTGACAAGAGTGGTGATTTTCACTGCAGAAATGGTGGTTAAACCAACAACAATTGTTGATATATATATATAATATAACATGTTTTTTTTACCATCAGAAATTGTGATTTTGACCAAGAAAGGTCTTGAACATTGTTCTAACAACAATAGGGGATTTGACAATCAACAATGGTGGGCAAACCCAAGAAAATACAGGATGTGACCAACAAGTGGAGTTTAACTAACGAAACATGTCATTGAAATTCATTTGGCCAACAAAAAATGGTGGTTCGGCCGTAAAAAGTGGGGGTGCAGCCTGGTAATGTTTTTTTCCCCACCTGCCAGGTGAGGGTTGTTAGATTTTATCTAAGTTGCCTGCTCCTCCTCCTCTCCTCCTCCTCTCGTCGTCCTCCTCCTCTCGTTGTCCTCCTCCTCTCGTTGTCCTCCTCTCTCGTTGTCCTCCTCGTCCTCCTGCTCAACTGCGACTCGCGATCCACAGTGTTCGCTGCCGGACCTCAACCACGACCATCCACGCCCAGTGTTCCCTGCCGGACCTCAACCACGGCCATCCACGCCCAGTGGTCCCTGCCGGACCTCAACCACGGCCATCCACGCCCAGTGTTCCCTGCCGGACCTCAACCGCGAGTATCCATGCCAAGTGTTCCCTGCCGGACCTCATGTAGGAAGATAAAATGTCAGATAGAGTGCCAGAAGATTTGCCAGGTAGAATGCCAGAAAATATGCCAGAAGATATGCCAGATAGATATGCCAGAAGATATTCCAGAAGATATGCCAGATAGAATGCCAGATAGAATGCCAGAAGATATGTCAGAATATATGCCAGAAGATATGCCAGATAGAATGCCAGAAGATAGAATGCCAGAAGATTTGCCAGATAGAATGCCAGATATGCCAGAAGATATGCCAGATAGATATGCCAGAAGATATGTCAGATAGAATGCCAGAAGATATGCCAGATAGAATGCCAGAAGATGCCAGATAGAATGCCAGATAGAATGCCAGAAGATATGCCAGAAGATATGCCAGATAGAATGCCAAATAGAATGTCAGAAGATATGTCAGATAGAATGCCAGAAGATGTGCCAGTAAGAACATGTATAAATGTCATGGTGGGGATCACACGAAGTAAAGTTTTTTTTTTTTTCGGGCAGTAGTGGTTGGTCAGTCTGAGCCACTATTTCCATGTTGGAGAGAGGTCAAACTCCCATCTCATAAAGGTTTGAAGAGGTTTGAAGTATAGCACCGACATATTTGTTGCTGGGCATATTTTAGAGGGTCAGAATTGGCAATTTCCCGGAATTGGTTTGCTGGGGACCATTTACAGAGTTGTATACTCCGAGAATAATTCGGGGGTAAAAAGGATTGGTTCCTCCAAATTCCCTTCAACCAATCATTTGACTGTCTTTTTTCATTTTTGTACATTTTCGCAGGTGGGAATAATGGCCCACATCCATCTTCGCATAATGTCCAAACCAAAGAATGGTCCACATTCAGCTTCTCATTCCTCTTAGTGCCGGACCCCATAGTTGATGATAAAAATATTGATCACAGTGGGTAAAGAGAGACACAACCGATGAATGAACTTTCAATGTTTGTTGGTTGTAACATGTTGTAACACTCTGGTCTGCAGACTCCTACATTTTCATACATGTTTTTCAACATTTTGGGTGAAAAAGTGGTGAAAAAGAAGCCTCCACACGAGGATTGAGGTGGAAATCTTTACGACAAAACCAAGTCCATAGAGACTAAGAAAATTACCGAAAAGGCCATGGGCGGAGGTTGTGTACGTCGAATACGTCGAATATGTCGAATGTGCCATGTGTCTGACCCATTTTCGTCGAATTCTGCTGGGATTTTAGTCTCATGAGCTGGCGATAACTTTCCATCGAAGTTAGTCACCCAATGACCACAGCTATCACCGGGCAACCAGCGAAATTGATATACCATCCCAAGTATCATCCATGATCCATTAATAGTACATAATGGAGGTTACTATAGTACATAATGATATAATGGGTAGTCAGAAAAAGTCTATAGTAACATGGAGGTTTCCTAAGTCCCTAGGGCTACCCCAGTCATCATCAAGTCATTGAGGACCATGGTGACTTGCGGATCGCCCATGGATATATGACCGATGGTTTAATCCCAACTTAATGAAAAAAACGGCAAGTTAATTACAACATATTACCCTCTGGTTATTTAACATAGCCAATGGCAAATGGCCCATTTATAGATGGTTTACCTACTAAAAATGGTGATTTTCCATGGCTATGTTAAATAACCAGAGGGTATATGAATCCGTAATAATCCCTACCATTGCTTGATTGGTTCCATGGTTTATCGTAGCAATCTCCCACTATCTCCCACTCATTCATCGCACAGCACATGAAGTAAATACCACATTTTCCTGCCATCCCAAACATTTCCATCACTAGGGCCACTAGGGGTATCTCTACGAATACAATTTGCACCGGTTCTTTCGGGAAAACTTGGGTCATTTCCACCCATGGCTCCGCTGCGTTTTTTTAAAGGTGCCGCAGTTGAAGGAACAAGTGGCCGCAGCACAGGCTGAGATGTTGATAAACCGAAGATGTTTGGTGTGTAAACAAGAATAAACAAGAAAATTGGGGGTTAACTATCAAACGTGGGAACTTAAGGAGCCAAACATAGGGGGAAATCCTAGGTCCTAGGATGATCAAACCATCAAGAATAGGGATCGAACCACCCAAAACGGGGGCCTGACGGCCAAACATCTAAAGCTCTACCAGGGGAGATGAACCATGGAGTTTAAATATTCAAAAATTAGAGATTTCACTCCCAAACCAGATATGGTTGTGTACAAACAAGCATGGGCTTTGGTAACCGTGTACAAAAAATGGAAGATGAACCCAAACTTCGAGACTTAGCTTCTGAATAGTTTTTGGTTAAACAGTTAAACACCATTCTTTTGCGGACATCCAGTTGATCAGCGGAATCGTCCCGCTGGATTTTTGTAGCTGGAGAATCTCCTGTTGGGGGGATCTGACAGGATCTCACCCTGATGGATAGCATTTCGATGTATTTCGGGAATCATCTTGAATCTGGGTATATTTGATATGGATTTTACATGAACTGTTCAGGCTGGTTCGCAAGTGGGCTCCAAGTCACAAGATGACTCCAGGGTCTGGCGGCAGCCATGGGGAGAATGTTGTTCCAAGTTTTTCGTTTGAACTCATCCGATTGTAAGTCCAAACAAAACACCTGGCCGGGCCGAGCATTCATCAGAAATTCCAGCCGCACATTCTTGGCCACTTGAAATTCCAAGAATGTTCGAACCAACAACAAGCGTTTCATGGTCTCAGCCGGGCTGAGGTTTCAAGCGGGATTCTTGGGGTTCCCCATTTCCAGACATGCAAAAAACATCAAAAAACCTGGGTTTGCCTGGGACCCATCTGCCGAAGCTGAGAGGTACCACAGGTTTCCTTGTTGATCCCAAAGATTTCACCCATGTCACCGGCTTCACATATGGAAAACATGGCTTTCCTGTGAGAATGGTATACTTTCATGGTGTTTTTTTTGGTACATTTTTTGCATGAACCTATGCCACTTGGCGAGTTAGTTAGTTAGTTCGATAGTTAGTGAGCTAGTTAATTAACTAGTGAATTAATTAGCTAATTGGTGAAGTGGAGGGTAATTTTCCGTAATTTTAGGTACTATTCCCAACAATTCTGTGGAACATACTATGTTATACCCCATTTGTTATCAACAGATGGTTAACATATTTAACATAGTATACCGTATCATATTATACCCCATTTGTTATCAACCATTCATAGAACTGGATGATGGGAAAAATTACTGGTTTAAGCCCTATATTTGATGGTAAAAACCATGGTTTCCGGTTGAGATTTTCCCTTAAACCAATCCATTGAACCATAGCATAATACCATTTGTGGATGCTTCAACGGTTCAACTGTTAACCCCGTCCGCTTTTTCCTAAGCCGTCCGGGCCGTCCGCTGTCGGCAGGCTGCAGTAGAAGCTGCCAGGGATCAAGCCGCACAGGTCGGGCCCGGCAGATTCCGGCAGATGGCATGATGTCCCATATGAAATCCCATAGAAGGGATATATGATACTATGGGTATAATAAAGTATTATATATATATACTATACTAATATATCTACATATGTTTATAATATATATATATATTATCCCATTATATATATAATACTTAATGGGTATCATACGGTAGTGATCAGATGGTTGAATAACATGTTCGTCCACTATTATCCACTATCATCCATTATCATCCAGATTACCCTCTGGTTGTGACTAACATAGCCATGGAAAATCACCATGCTATTAATAAAACCATCTACAAATGGGCCATTTTCCATGGCTATGTGAAATAACCGATAGTAATGGGTATAATGATAGTGGGATATACCCTCTGGTAAACGTGTACGTAACTATGGAAAGATCCACCATTTTCAATGGGAAAACTCACTATAAATGGCCATTTTCAATAGCTATGTTAGTTTACCAGAGGGTAATGGGATATAGTGGGATATTGTAGAGCTTCGCACACCGGCGATGCGATAAGGGCTATGTATAGTAGTGTGAGCGTTGGTGTTGTTCATGTGCTCTGCGCGTGCGCGCAGGTGCAGAGCACAGTGTGATGTTCTTTTCATACCGCAGCTTGTAACCATCTTACCACCCATCTTTTTGTCGCATTTTTGTGCTTGTTCTTCTTCTTGTTGTTGTTGTTGTTGCTGTTGCTGTTGGTGTTGGTGTTGTTGTTGTTGTTGTTGCTGGTGCTGCTGTTGCTGCTGTTGCTGCTGTTTCTGTTGCAGTTGCAGTTGTTGTTGTTGTTGTTGCTGTTGATGTTGGTGTTGGTGTTGTTATTGTTGTTTTTGTTGTTGCTGCTGTTGCTGTTGGTCTTGTTATTGTTGCTGTTGCTGCTGTTGTTGCTGTTGTTGCTGTTGCTGCTGTTGTTGCTGTTGCTGTTGTTGCTGTTGCTGTTGCTGTTGTTGTTGTTGCTGTTGTTGCTGTTGTTGTTGTTGTTTGTTTGTTTGTTTGTTTGTTTGTTTTTGTTTTTGTTGTTGTTGTTGTTGTTGTTACCCCTGCAGCATTTATCTCAGTCTCGTATTGGCCGAAAATCGCCAAATAGGTGCTGATTTTGGCGTTCTTTTGAACTCTCGGAGCAAAAGACACCGTAAATACTGATGTTTTTTGCGCCTTGGAAGCCCAAAACTACAGCAAATACTAAAAAACGCACTTGCCGGAGTATCAGTGCAAAGGTCGTGTGCTAGCAACGCTGCTGAACAGCAGAATGCAATGGCACAGCGAGTCGAAAAACTCCAAAAACATATTCCTCACCCTGCGCCAAAAAAAAGATCAGACAACATCTTTGACGACCGTCCCACGTCAGTCTTCTTGCTACGGTCGTGTGCTAGCAATGCTGCTGAACAGCAGAACTCGCTCACGTCTGCAACATGCGAAGCGCTAAAACACCATGGCAATGAAGGACTTCTGACACCGTAGAAAATACTATAGTAATGTATAATAGTAGTAATAGTAGTACTTGTAGTAATAGTAGTAGTAGTAGTAGTAGTAGTAGTATGCAGTGGCCTTCGGTTGTTGTTGTACCTGTGCTTTCCCAGTTCGACATACGGCCACTTTTGTATCCATGCATCTTCATCCACACAATTGGGGCGAACATGTGGCAGCGAAAAGTTAAAGGTATTCAAAAGGCAGCAGTACGGAAAAGATAGAAACATGTAGCATTTTTTTCTTTTTGGGGATCCAGAAGACACGTTAGGCACTTTTCGGGGCCATATTGGAATATGTTTTTTTGGAGTTTTTCGACTCGCCGTGCTACTGCGTTCTGTTGTTCAGCAGCGTTACTAGCTCTCGACCCTTGCAAGAAGGCTGACTCGGAATGGTGGCCAAAGGTGTTGTTTGGTGCATTTTTGGCGCGGGATGGAGAAACTATAGGAAAGGCAGTGAGAAAGCAGTAGTAGTACAGAAAAGGTAGAAGCATGTGGCAGCAGCAGCACCAGCAGCAGTAGCAGCTTGACATTGAGAAGTTGTTGTTGAGGAGTTGAGGGAACCTCCTATTACCTGGCGCGCTCCCCCTTGCTTGGCCGGGGTCGGCGGATATCATGAATAGTTATAAAGTTATACCACAGCTATATTTCAGTACTATATCAGCAGACTCAACTTTACTGTACCTTGCCTAGGTATCAACAATTTTTCGTTTTGGCATTAGGTGTCCATCTTTTTGGCATTTCTTGGGGAGGGGGTGGTTAATATTGAGGGTTGGTTAAACGGGTTTTTATTTGGAATCGACAAGCGATGAGAAACTTAGCAAGGATCATAGGTGCCGTGCTGCAAAGTTGGTCTACCGGCATGGCCCCTAGTTATGGCCATTTGAGAAAATGATGATTAACCACGAAATTTTGGGGTGCCACAATTTTAGAGAAACCAGTATATGGGGTTGTCATGCCCCCATAAATAGGAACTAACATACCCATGATAAGAATGCCTATCGTGGGAGGATCATACCCCAGTAATCCTATGTAACTTGACCATGGTACATGTGCGACTGGGGTGTGTCCCAGAGGATTTACGGTTGCCACCCACTTGCTGAGTGGATTGTATCTCCGATTGGCAACAATGGATCGCCCATATGACCCCACCACTTGGTTGAGACAACTCACCTAGCTATGGAACATGGCCCATTTATAGATAGTCTACCTATTAAGGACGGTGAACATGGCCCATGGAACATGGTTTATTTATAGATAGTCTACATGTTTTCCGATTTCCATAGTTACGTGAAATTATCAGCGTAGCCCATTTTTGGACAAACCTATATATATATATATTATAGTCTAGAACTGGCTAAAATGACTGGAGAGTATGTTAACACATGTTCATCCCCAATGGCCGCAAGTTTCAGCTCCTTTTATCCCATGAAATGGCCTAATTGAAATGCGGAAACACCCCCATTTCTGGGCACCATCGAGTACTCTTGGGGATAAGTTACCCGGCCTGGTAAACAGACAGTTTGCTATTGAAAATGGCAATTGAAATAGTTGATTTACCTATTAAAAATGACGATTTTCCATAGTTATTTGTATGTTTACCAGAGGGTATACATAATTATCCCATGATTTTCCCATAATTATACAAATTTTTGTCTGTTTCCAAAGCCAGAAATAGACCAGTGACTGTGGTTCACTGGCACGCAGGCTGTGAAGAAGCAGAAGGAGGCAGAGGGGGGAGGTCCTGGAGGAAGGTCAGCCCATTGGGGAATAATCACATTTCACCAATAAAAAAGATGAGGTTCCCTCTGGTAATCAACCGTGGGAAATCTCCGAGAAATGGTGGTATCTTTATGGCGAAAAAGATCTCAACATGACGGAGTTGCCATTGCCATGTTGGATTACCAAAGGGGTATCAGAAACTGAACCTGTAACAAATATGGGAGGGTTCAGCAGATACCTTTGATTTGCCAAGCAACTTTTCCAGCAAGAATTGTGGATATAGACTATACCAAGCCTCAAACACATGCCAATTGGACAGCTGGAAAATATGGGGGGAAACATCATCGAACTACTATCCTGGTTTCACACTGAAATCGGCATCAATTTTGGGGGTTGCTATCTGATAGAATATTGGTCACAGCACCAAGAAGGAACTCAACGAGCTGAATTGTTACCTATTTCTTTGACCGAAAGTGTGTGTGCCAATCACAAAGGTTTACTGTACTCCCATGGTGATGGTCAAATGGTAAATTTTTGCTCACTTAAATGAAAAAAAACTCCATGTTTGGTTCAAGCTTCCATGATTCTTAGTGAAAACGCCTAGTCTTGCTGGTGAAGTCACAATTTCTAGTATGAACACGTCACCATTTTTGTTGGCAAACCCACAGGATGGTGCCCTGCAGTTATAAGTTGGTTTATAAACCCCATTAACTAGTTCGTTATATATATATTATATATACACATATCTACCATAAACATCCCAGTTAACCATAGAACCCCATGAACTAGTTCGTTATATCTACCATAAACATCCCAGTTAACCATAGAATTCAGCCATAAAAAATCTCAACTTAACGCTATCGAACGGGGGCCCCATCCTGCACCATTTCTGCGGGCGCCCTTCGTGGCAGGCGGAACGGGTGCGTTCCGCGGAGGCCCAGGCCTGGCAACAGGCGGAGGTGGCATTGGAAGCGGCCAAGGCGCCGGCGCCGGAGGGGATGGGAAGTCAATGATTAATGGTTGATAGTTAATGGTTTTTAAAAATGTGGAATGGTTAATAATCTGGTTAGTATGGGTTGATAGTTACAATGTGGGGCCCCCGTTCGATAGCTAAGTTGGTTCAAACAACTCCAATAACTATGGTTTATGGCACGCAAATAACTATAGTTAATGGGGTTTATAAACCAACTTATAACTGGGGGGCCCCACATTGTAATGGTTTATAAACATGTGGAATGGTTAATGGAGGCTTCCCTTCGTTTCAGACTGTTGGACACACGGTGCCTGCGCTTAGCCGGCCCTGTGCTTGAGAGACCGTGCGCGATATAAAAATGTGGAATGGTTAATAATTTGGTTAGTATGGGATATACTATATATGTATATATCTATACCTATATATCTATATATGTATATATTTTTATGTGTATATTAATTATCTGGTGATTGGTTAGTAATCATCACTAACATTAATGGAGTAATGGAGTATTAATAAATGGAGCTCAAACATGTCCCTGGTTGGTGGTTTGGAACATGAATTTTATTTTTCCATATATTGAGAATAATAACCCCAACTGACTTTCATATTTTTCAGAGGGCTTGAAACCACCAACCAGCTGATGATGGGTTAGTAATGGAGTATTAATCAACATTAATCATCACTAACCATCATCACTATTAGTAATGTCAACCCCGGATGAATATACCGTGGTTTATTCATTTGGGGGGTATTCCCTCAATGGTCATAATCTAATACTTAAACGGTACCCTCCCAATTAAACAGCCTAGGGGTTTATTAATCCAGGGTTGACATTAATGGATTAATGATGTTGATTAATGTTGATGTTTATTTTCCAGGTTTATTTTCCAGGGTTACTATTCATCTCGTGTTTAATAGGATCATAGGGGATATCAAACCGGATCTTCTGCTTATTGGCTAGTGTTAGTGATGGTTCATGATGGTTAGTAATGGATAGTAACGGATTAATAGTATCATAAGGAATATAATAGGAAATAACAGGGGATATCAAGCACTAACCATCATCACAATTAGTAATGCATTAATGTTGATTAGTAGTTATGAAGAATGATGAATGATGATGGATCTAGTGTTCAGTAGGATCATAGAGAATATAATAGCATCATAGGGGATATAATTTATTAATGGGATCTTCTGCTTATTGGTTAAATTATTAGTAAATGATGGTTGATGATTGTTAATAATGGAAGTATAATGGGATTCATGCTGATTGATAGTGATTTTTCTAGTGGTGAATGATGGATAATAGTGATTAACAATGATTCTACTTATTACTGTCAATAAAAAATTACTTTACTTCGTGTGATCCCCACCATGACATTTATACATTTTCTTACTGGCAAATCTTCTGGCATTCTATCTGACATATCTTCTGACATTCTATTTGGCATTCTATCTGGCATATCTTCTGGCATATGATCTGGCATATCTTCTGACATATCTTCTGGCATTCTATCTGGCAAATCTTCTGGCATTCTATCTGGCATATCTTCTGGCACTCTATCTGAAATATCTTCTGGCATTCTATCTGGCATATCTTCCGGCATATATTCTGACATATCTTCTGGCATTCTATCTGACATATCTTCTGGCATATATTCTGACATATCTTCTGGCATATCTTCTGGCATATCTTCTGGCATATCCTCTGACATATCTATCTGGCATATCTTCTGGCATATTTTCTGGCATTCTATCTGGCAAATCTTCTGGCATTCTATCTGGCATTCTATCTGGCATATCTTCTGGCATATATTCTGACATATCTTCTGGCATTCTATCTGGCATTCTATTTGGCATTCTATTTGGCATATCTTCTGGCATATCCGGACATTCTTTCTGACATTCTTTCTAACTTTCTTCTGCACATTCTTTGTCCCATCTTTACTGAGGTCCGGCAGGGAACACTGGGCGGGGATGGTCGTGGTTGAGGTCCGGCAGGGAACACTTGGCGTGGATGGTCGTGGTTGAGGTCCGGCAGGGAACACTGGGCGTGGATGGTCGTGGTTGAGGTCCGGCAGGGAACACTGGGCGTGGATGGTCGTGGTTGAGGTCCGGCAGGGAACACTGGGCGTGGATGGTCGTGGTTGAGGTCCGGCAGGGAACACTGGGCGTGGATACTCGCGGTTGAGGTCCGGCAGGGAACACTGTGGATCGCGGGTCGCAGTTGGACGAGGACGACGAGGACGACGAGGACGACGAGGACGACAAGGACGACAAGGATGACAAGGAGGACGAGGAGGAGGAGAAGGAGGAGGAGAAGGAGGAGAAGGAGGAGGAGGAGGCAACTGACATAAAATCTAACAACCCCCACCTGGCAGGTGGGGAATAATATAAACCATCCATATTTTGATGGGCATACCACCCATAAACATGGTACATTTGGGTATGGTTTATGATGATGCTTATTAACCTTCGTAAAGCAATGCCATCTTAGTAACCAAGATTTTGATGCTTGGAATCCCCATAAAAGTAGTACATTTGGGGATGATCATCATAGTTCTAGTACATTAAAATTAGTATAACTAATGTCGTCTCCAATAATGCACACGCATAGTATAATAGCATTAGTATTACATCACTAATTATAACTAGTATTATGGAATAATCATACCTAATACATCCGCTTCCTGGTTCGAGCGATGGTGCGCAGGCAGAGAAGGCACATCTTCAAAAGACGGTGGAGACTTGGTACCCACATTTGGTATGGTGAAAACTGGGGTCAGTTGTCCATCTTGGGAGATGGTTAGAAAAAATGTTGTCAAGATGGACAGTCACTCATTTGTGCTTGGTGTTTATAAACATTTATTACCATATGATATTTCCTGAACATTTTTCATGTTAGCCATGTTATATCCCCATGGGGCTGGATTCTGCAGATTCCCACTCCAGGATGGACCAAGTAACTTGACCATGGCAATCTGAGTAAATTAGGCTTGGCTCTCACTCGCCAAGGCCACCATGAAATTTCGTGAGGAACAGTCATTTGCCCAATGAATGTTATGTTTTGGTGGAAACTAGCCCAAGATACTGTGGATGGAAGAAATCCTGCATCAGTTGATAGATGGCTTGTCCCATTTTGATTCCATTATTTACAGTGTTTCATAGTTACCAATAGTTACCAACTGGTGCAGGATTTCTTCCATCCACAGTATGTCAGATTTGTCATGGAACTCGTTCATCAGCACATAGGGAGGCTGATGATTCAGTTGACTGGATGTCAGAGCTGAAACGACATTTGTTGAGACCACGAGTTGGGAACATGGCCGAGCTGTTCAGGTTAGTGAATTAGTATCGTTTATCCAGGTAGCACAATGCACTAACCGTAAGAAATATGTTTTTTGGATATATATATATATATTATATGTATGTCTATGTAATATCATGTTTAACCCATGATAATGATATTCCATGAATAGTGGAATAAATATTACATGATATGACAGTTCAGCTGAAAAAACGCGAAGTTTTTTTTTTTTTTTAAGAGGCCACCATTTTTGGGTGCATCCACCACATTCGTTCCGGTCAGTGTATCCGGGATTATGTCAATTATATCAGAAGACGATGCTTTAGTACATGCTGATGAAGCCACATAAGTCGGTTTATGGCAACCACCAAGACAATAGAACAGTGATTTACAACGACTTTAGGCGGAATTGATTTTTCAGCATCTTTTTGAAGGTTGCTACAAGCGACCTATTGCCTTGTTTGAACTGGCAAAACATCCAAGTCATTCCTAATATATCCATATATATCCTAATATAAGAGACCTTCTAAACGAACCCTGGTTTAGTACTGGACCTGTTCATTCGGGGTCCTGACTATTGAGGGCATTTACATATTATGATCCGGAATAGAATTGGCCATGTATATTTGGTAATGATATGGTCTAACCATGTTCAACCCAGTTTAATCCAATTTTTTTAGCACAAATGCACGTAATACATATATATATATATATATATGTGTGTGTGTGTGTCACATCATACTTTGGTTGTAGCTATCGCAAATCTTAGTTACAATCCCTATTTTTGATTACAGGGCTATATCTATGATTTATCTTCTCTATTCAATCATAGTTGTTAACGTCATGAACCTATTAGTGACTATAAACCATTAATTTAGAACCATAGTTGCAGGGTTGTAAGATCCTTTGGCCGCCATACATTCCAGTTTTGCCAAGGACCGTCTCACGGCCGAAGTGGCACAAGCCAAGCAAGCCAAGCCTCAGGCGCGAGGATCAACTGGTTGGGAACTGGAACGAAAAAAAAACAATGGACAGTATTAACATTGATTAACAGATGGGTAGTAATCAAGCATCAAAATCACCATCAATGGTTAAACAAGTATAACCATCCAAGTACCACTACTAACTAATCATTAATTAACATGTAATGTGGGTGAAACAATGCCATAAACCATCTGTGGGTATGTAACTGTAATAGTTACCATCCCCCAATCATCACCATAAATATATAGGTGGTATGGTATGTTTACCTCAATGGATTGGTTTAAGGGAAAATCTTAACCGGAAACCATAGATTTTCCCAGTAAATATGGGGTTTTCCTGTAAATTTTCTCTTAAACCAATCCATTGTTTACCCCAAATTTATGGGTGGTAAGACATGACATTTTCCATCACAAATTTATGGCACATCCCCAGGATCTGAGCAGCAAACGTTGAGTGGTGATCTCAACAGGGAGATTTAGGACGAGAAAAAGACACTAAATGATGATTACAGCAAGTGAAATTAGTTACATCCCAGGAAGTTAGAGATTTATTCAAGCAGCAAGTTAGTTCCCTGAGGAGAAACTTGATCTCATTTGGGATGATGAGTGATGATCTCAAGCAGCAAGTGATGATCTCATCCCCGGATGATCGCCGCTGGGTGCACTGATTCCCGCCTGGACTTTTCCATTTTGGTAGTTCGTCTATGGTAAACCCAAAGCAAAACTCAACGATTCCTATTCACCAACCATTTGGATAGTTTACTATCATGGTATATAAATCATATAAATATACCCCTATTGGATACCAATGCTTTGAGAAATCATCCCTTTTCTAGGGGTATACCATGGTATAGCCAAGAATAAACCGTCTATTGGGGATGGTTTGTGGCAGCCAGGGTTTACCACGTTATTCCCCTTATGACATTGCCACGTGGCTTGCCACCCCATTTTTGGACATGGACCATAGATCAACAACGACACCAGCAACGACTCACAGTGCAAGTTGGCTGCGTGAAGCCGCTGGAACATTGAGCAGCAAATGAGCTGAGGATAATGAGTCAATAAGCAGAGGTGAAAAGAAACCGAGGCTCAGTTCTATCGACATTTTACACTTCTGGATGGGAAGTATGGGCATTTATGATGATTTACCATTGGTAATATCCTGTTTGTAGCGATGTGTCCAGCCTGGTGACAGCTAGTCCTCCTGTCTTTTTGTTTCGGAAACCGCGTGGATGGGTTACTTGAATCTTCTGCCATAAATATGGGAATATTGACGAAGCACATATTTTTTTCTGGGTGTTTTTGAGATTAGCCTGTCTGAGTTGAACATTTCTTTGTGCTATGAATAGTATGATGATTTAACAGTACGAATACTATAGATTTATCATTGATTTATCATTGATTTAACATTTGTTCTTTAGTTTTTTCTGTTAAACTGAGTTCATGACTTTGTCACTATTTCAGCTAGCCACGTTTGATTTCCGGAGGGTAAGTAACTGATCAATATTAACATCCCATTTGAATATATTTGAATCCCATTGAAACATTATTCCTTTTTGATGGCTAAACCATCATTTCGTTGTTGATACCTAGCTGTTTCTCCGACTTCTTCATTAAGCTTCGCAGGCGGAGCTTCAAGAAGCTGCAGCGGTACAGCTGCAGCTGAGTGAAGTGCAACAGGATGGGTCCGGAGATGGCGACTGGGTACTACCCGGCGTGGTAAACATACAAAAAGCTATTCAGCTATTGCAAATGGCCATAGAAATAGTGGATTTACCCATTAAAAATGGTGATTTTCCATAGTTAACCCATGGGAAATGATGGGAAATGTAGGAAATTCCCATGTGGAAGCTAAATTGGAGGCACCTGCCATTTATAAGGCCTATTTTCCAGGCCTATTTTTCAGGGAATATCCCCACAGCATATGGCCTTACATGTTTGGCGTTTAAAGCCCTATTTGGAGGTTTCCTGAAATGGAAGTACCCTCAAATCATCTATTTTAACAGGATTTTCCACTATCAACCATCCAGCCATTGGGGCACCCCCATTTATGGAAACCCTCAAAATGATAGTAAACACCATGATTCCTGTTGATTTTCTCATATGTTCCAACAAACAAATAATCCATTGATTGGGGAGCCCCTTCAAAATTCCCTTGCAATGATGGGTTAGTCTGGAATTTCCAGACCGGATATGGTTGGATTCGGACAATCCCCAATACATTGGCTAATATAATATACTACAGTATAACCAATTAGACCCATCAGCCAATAGGGGTTTTGAATCCTGCTAAGTCCCATGAAAAATCCCATGACTCTACATGATTTCCCTGCTATTTCATGGTTAAACCTTCATTTTTCAGGGAAGATGGCTCAAATACCGAAACCTGATGATTCATCTGGATTCACTCTGGTTAACCAACTGGGTGATGGTCATCAATAGGGAAAGACCATCATAGAGTCATGGCATTTTTTCAGAAGGAATCCCATTCCTACGTGCTTTGACCATGGCACATGGCTATAGTTATAGGATGTTATAGCGCTTATGTTGAAGTATATAGTCAGATAACCATGGTTGTACCTTGAAGTATATAGGGCTTATAAGCCATGGTATTACCCATTTAAGGCCAGATACTTCTCGGACATTTCTACCATCTCAGCCATCGGCGCCATCGGCTGCTCACAGGAGAAAGAATGGTTTCATTGGGGATCCCGAAAACATTGAAGAGTTTTCCGTGATTGATGGCTATTAGCTACTGGAGATGGTAGCTACGGGAAGGCATCAACCATGCTTTCAATATGTTTCAATAACCATGCTATTCCCCAATATGGGGAATAGCCATCTCCAGTAGCCAATAGCCATCCCGAAATATTGAAAGCATGGTTGATGCCTTCCCCATATTTCCAGGTTCCCAAATTTTGGGTCTATAGATTTCCCCTAAAACTCGATCCGTTCAGGAACTTCAAAGTGCGAGAGACGCCTGTGCAGCCGAGGTGGGGTGGGGTTGCGGCTGGTGTCTTCGTTGGAATCGCCAACGATTCAACGAATCAAAATGGGGAACACAAGGTGTAGGAATTATTCAATTTTTCCGAGATATATGGGGCTGTGGTTTATCCTATAGTTCAGACCCAAATAGCTGGTAGGCTGGTAGTTACGGGGTTTACCCTCTGATCACCCGATGGTCGGATAGGTATTACGAATCAAGATCCTCAGAATATCCAACGTTTTCTTAGTGAAATTATATAATTGTACTAACCCGCAAAAAGATAGAACATACGAACCTGAAAATTATATAATTTTCAACATCCCGGGAAAAACATGAAATTTACGTCCAAATACATCATGATAATCTCATCTTCAACATCCAAAGTATCTGAAAGTAGGCTACCCCCAAATTTGACTTATTATCACTTTCGTGATTAATACGGCCTTCTGGGGGGAAAAAAGCGCACTTTCCGAGACATCCAGGTCTATGATAGTCACTATTTGGGGGTTCCTATCAAAAGCTGGCTACATTGCCCACATTGGGGGATGGTCGTCAATCCATGTTCCTGGCGACTTAGAGATACCCAGTATTTGTGGAATTCCATTCATGATGGTGGGATGACTATACCCGTATACCCATTAATCTACCTGTTCCGAATCCCATGAATCCTAGACCATAGTATGCACCCAACACCATATTGTTGGTCCTGAATGATGGTTAGGATTAGGGAATCATCCCCAAATGGCGGCATGATAACCATGATAACAGCTTTTTATTCAGGTTAGTGAATGATTTTAATTCAGCCAGATGACTCCCATAGCACATCCCCATGTTCCCAGCTACCATGATGGTTTTATACGACCAATTCTCGTGGTTTTCAGACCCGGGAGGTGAACCCACCGTTTATTCACCCATGTTATCAAAATATTAATAGTAATTAGTCAACACATGTCAACACATGATTATATAGCATTATATAACCATGTTATATAATATTTATATAACATTAGTGGTTTTATAACCATGGTTTTAACAATATTATATAACATTATATGACCATGTTCACCCACCATGGAGAATACTAATTCTCTCATTAGTCAACACATCCATAAACATCCATGAACATGCATTAACATATATAATTAACCATTAACCATTATGAACCAATTGAACCATTATTAACCACTATTAACCATCAGTTAACCGTTATCAAGCATTATTCAGCATTATTGAGCATTATTAGCCACTATTCACCATTATTAACCATTATATAACCATTATATAACAATTATTGACCATTGTTAACCATTACAATATTGACCATTAGCACTATCCCGTCATGAATCATGATCTATCCCATGTTGGTCATTGTATACCCATTAGCATCCATTAATACTATGGTACACAGGGATTAAATATTCCAGCACCAGCAATATTCCATAATTCCATATTTAAAATATGGTTGACATATTACATATGTTGTATATTGTTGTATCCTATATTGCTTAGTATTCATATCCATTAACAACAAGTCACTGGCTGCCAGTTTTTGGCGGTTTCCCAGGCGCAGCGTGTTCGCGAGTCGCAGCTGCAGCTGCAGCAGATGCAGGGACAGCTCGCCGAGGCGCCGGTTGGGGTATCTGAGGATGAGAAGGCATGGATTGGAGCCATGAATGGGGGGGTTTCGCCATGGAAAATCGCGGATATATATATATATATATATAATTTATAATATATATATATTTTAAGAACAACAAAAATTCACCAAAGCAGGAATTTTAAGACTGGTTTCTGACCTGATGTTGGACAACATTGGAACCCCCATTTTACGAAAGCTCTGGGATTAAAATGATTCCAGCAGCAAGTTCTATGTCCCAAGTGGGTCCAGATGTTATTTTCGACAGTTTTGTGCGCGGATTTAGAGCAGTCCTGGGATATGGTCATCAATCCATTTTCATAGGGATTTAGAGGTACCCTCTGGTAAACGTTTACATAACTATGCAAAAAACGATGGAAAATCACCATGCTATTAATGGGTAAATCAACTATTTCAATGGCCATGTTCAATAGCAAACTGTTAGTCATTACCAGAGGGTAACTAGCAAAACGTCATGTGTAATGCCCACAACCTGGTCACCATGGGTAAATCCTTATAAATGGCCATTTTCAATAGCTATTTTGACATAACCAGAGGGTACCAATGATGTTTGGATTCATAGGGGGATGAACGTAAAGCATATTCCATGTAGGCTGACCCTGGCACATTGGCATTGAGATGATGAATAAAATTAGACATATGAGCCATATTCTATCATATGTTTATTGTTATGATAAATACTGGATATGAAATATGGCATGGATATCATATGGTATCATACCATTCATTATTCATAAAATATTGGATATGTTTATTATGATCGTAATATGATGGTATGTAGAAACATATTGGATATGTTGTGGTTTGTTTTGACAATTGCACCAGATATCTGGATGGATAGTGAAACATAAAGAAACCATGGAATGAGGGGACGAATTTCCATTAACCATGGAACATGGGGGCTTAAGCACAGAAAAATGTTGATGAAATGGGATGGATAGTAGCCATACAGATCTAGAGCTTTAGCTTTGTTGAGATTTGATAGGTAAACAGCATTTACCCCACTACAATGAACCTTTTAGTTGATGATCAACAAACCACTAACCACCAAAGAATCCCCAAATAGACATGTAGAATCTAGGGAAATTGATGGACATTGATGAACCAGTGGATCTGGAATTTTGAAGATATTTTTTTCAGCAACCATGATAGTAATTTCCGGCGTGTCTCCAGGTCTAGGTAAATCTTGCGTGGTGATTTGGGTAGGTTTCCTAAAATTATGGTACCCCCAAATCATCCATTTTAGATTGGAAATTCCCCTTATATATAAACCATCCAGCTGAGAACGGATTCTGTGCTTTGCTGTGCCTCTGTTGTAACCTCTGGTGGTGGGCCCCGTACTGGTTGAATGGAGACACTTGGATGTGCATCCCAGTTGGTAAATGGTTTGTAACCCACACATATATATATATATTTATATGTATGTAGACGTATATTATATGTATTTAGCCGTATATAATATGTATGTATAATTATGTATGTATATATAATATGTACCGTACATATATATATATATGTAACATTGTATAACATATATATATATATACACGTATAAATTGTGTATATATAATATAAATTGTATATATATATGGATATATATATATGTATATATCCGATAACCCTGGGGATATTCCGTATATGACTAGGGTATGTCACGCACAAAAATTGCCCACATTAACGATGCCTCGGATGCACCCCATATCAATGGCCATGCAACAGGAACCACGTCAATGGTTACTAAATGTTAATTACTAGTTGATGGGAAGTTAATGGTTAATAGTTAATAAACCAATTTATTATACCTGCTATATACATCTGGTTGGTGGTGACTGGAACCATGGAATTTTATGACTTTCCATTCAGTTGGGAATAATGATCCCAACTGACTTTCATATTTTTCAGAGGGGTTGAAACCACCAACCAGTAAATTGGAGGTACCTACCATATATAAGGCCACCATTTAAGGGAATATCCCAGCAAAATATAGCCTTATATGGTACAGTACCTTCATTTTAGGATCCTGAAATTCCTATTGACCATAGCCAAGCAACTGACCGTGTAATGGGAATGTGAACCAGCAAGAATGTGGATATTGCCGGCCATCAATAAAAACATCAGCACAGATTGAAATGTTCGTTCTTCTTAAAAATTGTCAATAGGAGTGGGGATATTAAGCAACGACAATTATGCTTGCGTTTTGGTCAATATCCCACTCTTCTTGGCAAATATATGCTTGATATCCCACAATATTATTACAATATTAACCAACCAATCATAACTTCCATAACTCTATGTGATATTAACCAACAACAATTTTTGATATCCACTGGTAATTTAACATAGCTATTGAAAATGGCCATTTATAGTGGATTTCCCATAAAAAATGGTGATTTTCCATAGTTATGTAAACGTTTACCAGAGGGTATCCACATTCTTGCTACTTTCATCCAGACATGTTGATTAATTTCCCTCATTCGTGTTGGTGCTTAAATCCGTGGCATTCCAACCATCGATTACCAATTATATATCCCATAGGCATCCCACAATCATCCCATAATATCATATAGGGATAACTAATGGATGATTAATTGTAGATATATATATATAGATAGGTACCATTAATTATAGGGATAATTATTTATAACTAATTAGTTGTAGATCCCATGAATTTTCCAATCATATCACCATCTAATCCCCATACAACTGCCCTAAAGTCAGAGTTTTGGCCGCTTTCACACTGCACGGCTTCCACTGGAGGTGACTCAGTTGCGAGCGCATGTCTCGGAATTGGAGGCGCAGATCTACGAAAAACATGCTGGTTTAACCATGTTTAACCATGTCTAAGCAGCAAAAATGGGGGTGTTTCAGCAGGAACAAAGATGGCTTCAAACTGCAGCTGCAAAAACACAACCAGCAATCGAGGGGGATTTTTTTAAGATCATCCATGGGGATATTCTATCCGTAAAAAAAATGATTTCATTCAATGATTAATAGTGGTTAATGATGGTTAATAGATGTCAATAGTGGTTAATAGTGCTTGATAGTGATGGTTACCCTCTGGTAATTTAACATAACTATGGAAAGATCCACCATCAATGGGGATTTATCCAGTATTTCGACCTGGTCATGGCTTCAATAGCAAACTGCAACAAATTACCAGAGGGTAACTGAGGAATTCACCAAGAACTTGGTGACCAAATGGAACCAGCCAAAATTGGCGACCAGAAACTCCGCTCTCGGCATCCGGACGTTAGTTCACTGGGATGATCCCCCCAACTCAATAAGATACCCTCTGGTTATGACTAACAGTTTGCCATGGTTTTTCGATGGCCCATTGAAATAGATGGTTTACCGTTCTTAACAGCATGGTGATTTTCCATGGCTATGTTAGTCATAACCAGAGGGTAATTCAATCAACTAACGACTTAACCAATTGATTAACCGATGATAAATCATGGAAAAACGTTTACATCACTATGGAAAAACTCATTTTGTTTTATGTTTGTCTATTTTTGTAAAACAACCAGTTCTATGGGGGATTTTCTTTTTGGCCAGCATTTATAGTTTAATGATTTTAATGTTTTTTTTTTTCCATTTATTGCTTATGGTTTAACACCGTTGGTTATAGTTTAACCACCATTTCTGATTGGTGGTGTGGAACATGAATTTTATGGCTTTCCATTCAGTTGGGAATGTCATCATCCCAACTGACTCATATTTTTCAGAGGGGTAGGTATACCACTAACCAGTAAATTGGAGGTACATACCATATATAAGGCCACCATTTAAGGGAATATCCCAGCAAAATATAGCCTTATATGGTACAGTACCTTCATTTTAGGATCCTGATATAGCACCATTGGTTATAAATGGTATATTTTTGGTTATTTATTTAAACATATTATTTATATTTTCAACACCATTTAACCACCATTTAACCACCATTTAACCACCATTGATATAGCACCATTGGTTATGGGATACACCACGAACCTGAAAAAACGGATCCCTTGGGATGACCGCAACGACCGCAACGACCGCAACGCAGGCGGGTTTGGAGCTCGCGCGCGAGGCAGCGTTGCAGGCCCGGCGAAGGTTGGGGGAAATTCTAAGATAGTTCGGGGAGAATATGGGGTTATATCATCTTTATAATATGCACATGTATATATATATATATATGGATATGAATCAATACCTATTAATACCATTTTTAGAGGGATGAACATCCATTTACCAGCTATTTTGATGTTCACCAGGGGTACAAGGTTTTGACCCACTGCCATATATATATAATATATTGTGTATATTTTCAGGCACCCAGATCTATCATCAACCGGAGGTTTCATAAAATATGGCTACCATCTGGTAAAGGTTTACATAGCTATAGAAAATCACCACTTGTTATGGGTAAATCAACTATTTCTATGGCCATTTTCAACAGCTACGTTAAATTACCAGAGGGTATGGATGAATATGGGACAATGAGTCATGCATGGTTGGAATGGATTGTACCAAAACAAACTTGGTTCAAACATCAAACTATTGGAACTTCATCAGCAAACTCTTGGATTTAGCCAACAAAAACATGGGATTCACTGAACAATTTGAGATTTCAACATTAACAATGGGGGACATGACATATCCAAATTTTAGAGGAATTTAATCCACAAGAATAGGCTTATTAGTGGGATAACTTGAGCCACTCAACAACGTGGCTCCGCAAAAAATGGGCTACGGTCTTGACCTGGTCGAAACTGGTCGAGAAAAACGGTCGGATTGGAAGGTACCGGGGACGGAACACGAAGCAGGCTTATTTTGATCCGTTTCAAAGAGCGATGATCATTTGGATCCATTTTTGTTATCAGTTATTAAGCAGGCTTATTAATCAGTTACCTCTATCCATTTTTGGTCAATCATTTTGACCCAGATCTCGGTCGAAGGTTTGTTTCGTGCCCTATGAGCTGGTTACGGGGATTTTTATGGGGTGTACCTCCCCCCGTAAACGTTTACATAACCATGGAAAATCACCATGCTATCAATGGGAAAACCCACTATTTCTATGGCCATTTTCAATAGCTATGTATGTTTACCAGGCCGGGTATCCCATGATCATTCCATTATTCACCATTGTTAACCATGGAAAATCACCATTTTCCTATGGTATTACGGTAAACCACCATTAAATCACCATTTTCCTATGGTAAACCACCATTAAATCACCATTTTCCTATGGTAAACCACCATTAAATCACAATTTTCCTATGGTAAACCACCATTAAATCACCATTTTCCTATGGTAAACCACCATTAAATCACCATTTTCCTATGGTAAACCACCATTAAATCACCATTTTCCTATGGTAAACCACCCTTAAATCACCATTTTCCTATGGTAAACCACCATTAAATCACCATTTTCCTATGGTAAACCACCCTTAAATCACCATTTTCCTATGGTAAACCACCCTTAAATCACCATTTTCCTATGGTAAACCACCATTAAATCACCATTTTCCTATGGTAAACCACCATTAAATCACCATTTTCCTATGGTAAACCAGGCTGGGTAAACCGATGTAGCTATCATGAATATGTGTAGTGCTGTACCGATGCACTGGATGCGCGAAAAAAGTTTTTCGAGTTTCGCGAAGGTGAAATCCGAAAAAAAACCCCAAGATCTGCGAAGCATACCAGGATTTTTCTTGATTCTAAGCCCACATTGTTGTTAGATTTATATCATTTTATATCTGGTTGGTGGTTTCAATGATTTTGGCTATTTTCCATTTCATACATGGGATGGCATCCTTCCCATTGATGGGCTAGAGGTCACTGAAAATATCATGAATGTCTGGTTGGTGGTTTGGAACATTTTTTTTCCATTCAGTTGGGAAGAATAATCCCAACTGACTAGAACTCCATCATTTTTCAGAGGGGTTGGTGGCTCAACCACCAATCAGATATCCTCTGGTAAACTAACATAACATGGGATAATCCTTCCCATTGACGAAGTCATATGTTTCAAGAATGTTATTGCACCACCAACCAGGTTATTATTAACCATCATTAACCATATTCCATAACCATAAATTAACCATCAATGGGAAGGGAAGGATTATGGAATTATGTTGTTACTATACGGATGATGTGAAACCACCAAGCAGATATTAGTGTGTCCTGCTTGAGATCCCGCCCATGAATGATCTCCATGGGACTTGTGGGTGAATCCCCATGGTTCATGGGATATAATTAATGGATACACTATGGATATAATATTGGGGATAGTATATGGGATAGTATACCCCCATTATTATACTCATTATTATTAGTAATGGAGATTATTTAGCCATATGTATATTATCCCATATTAATCCCATTGATGGATAGTATATGGATAGTGGGTATATGGTAATATTCCATGAATGGGACAGTATTTCCCATTATCATTCAATGGATTGGTTTAAGGGAAAATCTACAGGAAACCCTACATTTCATGTGAAAAAAGGTGTGTTGGTCAACGCATTTCTGAAAAACCCACACTGCATGTAGCAGGGCAGATATTAATGACCTACGATCGTTCGATTACCAATTCGATGAACAATTACGATTTGGCAATGGGGCATTAACACATGACTGTCACTAGGGCTTGATTCGATGAGCTCCGCACTTATTACAGCTGCTACCATTCTAAGAATCGCAAAACATACTGTACAGTAAGGGTTGCAAGGACTTTTTCAGCAAACAAGGTGAACGCCACAATTTGAACATGTCGTCCAGTGGTGGCTGCATCCTTGGTGCTTTTTCTTATCGGCCAGCCACTCAGATCACTCAGGCTGATGCAGAGGCAGCAAGGCTGAAAGAGGCTCATCCCAGTTAACCTCTGGTAAACGTTTACATGACCATAGAAAATCACCATTGTTAATAGGTAAACCATCTATAAATTCTGGTAATTTAACAGTTTGCTATTGAACATGGCCCATTTATAGTTGATTTACCCATTCATAGCATGGTGATTTTCCATAGTTATGTAAACGTTTACCAGCGGGTATCATGATTTGGGTCTGTCATGGTGTACACCCTCCAAATGTTTTATTTTTAGGTAAAATGATGAATCAATGGACTTAGAGGTAGCCTATTTTCAGACAAAGCTATCTATATGTTGAGTCATTTATTCAGAAACAATGGGTTATCCAGCATGACTTCTTTTTTTAGTGGGGCAGGTTTGCAAATCCAAGGTTAGTTTTTTTTTTGTTTAAACCACTGTCCCGCAATTGGGGATCTAAGTAAGGTGGTACACCCAAGAATAAGCCAACCCCAATTCAGGTTTAGTATTGGGTATACCCCGTTTGATATAAGATGTTCCCAACGTGGTTGGTTACTGAGATGATAAAAATTCTTGGGTTTACCATGTCCTGGTATGGACCTGGGTTGATCATGTCAAGCATTTTATGTTGTTCTCTGATACATAAGCAACAATGTGAGTCAGCTTTGGCCATTTTTTTTTTTAGCGAGACCCTTTTTTTTGCCATTTGATGGGACATATGATGACACACTACACCCTCTGGTTATTTAACATAGCCATGGAAAATGGGCCATTTACAGATGATTTTCGCATTAAAACCTCCATAAAGGATTTTTCAGTTCGCTATGTGAAATAACCAGATGGTAGGATTTTTGGGTACCCAATTTTCATATGGGATGATTTACCAACCACCCGCGCCACAATTTTTGGTCGGCCAAAGCGCCCAGAATGCAACACGGATACCCTTTGGTGTTTAACAAGCGAACTGGAACATCACCATCTTTGATAGGTAAATCAACCATAAATGGAGGATTTTCTATAGTTATTTTAGTTTTCTATAGCTATGAATGGGGGATTTTCTATAGCTATGTTAGTTTTCTATAGCTATGAATAGGGGATTTTCTATAGCTATGTTAGTTTTCTATAGCTATGAATAGGGGATTTTCTATAGCTATTATAGTTTCCCAGAGGAATTTTCCTCTGGGAAGTGAAGAGTTTGCGAACTGGAAAATTTTCACCGTGAGGTGAATCGTCAATTTTCTTGGGCCATTTTCCGCCCATATATCCTTTGTTGTTGTCTTCATTCTTATTTCAGGGACATATGGGATGTTCCATTACTGGAGTGAAATCCCCCCAAAAAAACAAAATTGCTGGAACATGTCTTTCCATTTCATCCCATTTCTGTGTAACATGCTTTTTGAGACAGTCCCCAAAATGGCCAAGAACATGGAAAAAGCATTCGAGATGTGAACCGAAATGTGGGGGATGATTCAATGATTCAACTGGAAATGAACAACACTGCAATATATTGCAATGTGCAGTGGTTGTCCTATTGAAGTTGGGGATGTTTGCTTGCCATCGTTATTTAACAAGTTGGGTACTCAACCAGGTGTGTTCCTCCGGACAACGATAATGGATCTGGGTATGTCAGAAAATGGGAGAGCCGACGACCCCCCAAAACATATTTTTATGAAGAAAACAGTGGATCTAAGGACGTTCTATTTTTGGACGTGTATTGTAGGAAAGATAATTTTCCTCCTGGAACTACGATTTTGCAGCGTGTTGGACTTTGGGGAGTCGTGTATTGTATAATTTGATGGGCTTCACGGAACCCATTGTCCTTTGATGTGGTTGCAACAATCATCACATGGAATGCCAATTTCTGGGTATCAATCTGTGGGTCGGACAGAAAACCCCGGAGCCCCGAAATTCGGGTTTGAAGGGTGCACCAGTTGAGGCAAAAGGCATGTCCAGGATCATGTAGAAATACTGTAATCTACCCTCTGGGAAACTAACATAGCTATGGAAAATCACTAGTTTTAATGGGCAAATCCACTATAAATGGCAATTTTCAATAGCTATGTTAAATTACCAGAGGGTAACACTACTGGGATTTTCTTATCGCGCACAGTCCTCGTAAGCTGTTTTGAGCCTAAAGGCTGAGTCGGAAAATGGGGCATCATTATGCCTATGGTGGAGACTAGAACCTGTAATTGGACTGGACGATTGCGAGGTATACAACTCCTTCAAGACGATCGTGAGGTTGCAATTGCCATCAGATCTTAGTATACTGTAACATGGCAATGAATGTTTGAGTC